GCACTTAATGGCTGTAGTCGAGATGTATTTGTTGGCGATCTCGCGGTATCGGAAGGATGCCGAGATCGTGTCAAAGGAGTACAAGTGTAGTTACTGAGTGTAACCGAATTCGTGCAAGGTCACAATCGAAAGATAATGGAGCAGTAATATGGCTGTCTTTAGCACAGTTAAACAAACGAGCACAGTAAAAACAGTTATTGGTACAATTGGTTATAATAATAATTGTTTTCATTAAACCAATCGTGTTCTCGTGATAAAAGTAAGTCACTACACTGTCATTTATCCATAGAGGGCGAGCCTTACATCTCGACCATTCAACTGTAATATAACCAGTGAATTAATTCTTCAGATAGATAGATTGATTTATGTTTTCATTGAATATGACACTTTCCGTTGTATAAGACATATCGCTGCTTTATGATAAATTGAAAAATCCCTAAAAATACATGTTTTATAATTTTGCATGTAATGTTAATAGTGTACAAGAAAGTTTGGAAATCTACCACTAAGTTGGTCAATAACCTATTCAATGTCTGCGTAAGTTAAGTATAATGAATACAAGTAGTCATCGGTTTGTCGATTTCTTATCAATCAAATTACAATGAATCATTTTATGACTAGAAATTATGTATCAATATTTACTTGTAATAAAAACAATGCAGAACGTAATATAACAGAAGTCAGATTTCTGGTTCTTTTAGCAATTAAAATTATGTTAACTTAACACTAATAAAATGAATGTGATATTTGAGTTTTCAACTAAATGAGCCACAACACTATGATAATCTGTCTCATATCTATTATAGTGCCAACTTAAGTTGTTTTAAAAGATCTATATTTTATGAAATAAAGTTATAATGAAATGGTTTTATTGTAAATCTACTACTTACTTACTTACTCACTCTGCCCACTGGGATTCTCCGTCGCTCTCTGTTCTGAGCAATCTTTTTCAGTTGTTTCCAGTTGCTATTCATTCCTTTCATGTGTGCCTCCAATTCCCGACTCAGTGTGTTCCTTGGTCTTCCTTTTTTCCTTTTCCCTTCAGAATTCCAAGTTTTCGCTTACCTAGTGATTCAGTTTGATGATTACCTCAATGTATTATGTCCTATGAACCTCGAGCGTCATTTACTAATTCTCTCTTTAGTTAGAAGCTGGTTTGTTTTCTACCACTTTAGTTCTTCTAAGATTACTAGCGCTACCAAGCTCAGATAAGGAAGAAGGGTTATATATGGAGTCAACGACCGCAGCCCGTATAAAAACAGCTTTTCTAAAAAAACGCCAACCGGAGTAAACACTGTAAATCTATTATTTTAGTATAATTAGTAAAATGATAAAACCATTAAGTATTTATGTGTATTTGACGTAAGTTTCTCTGATGAATACGATCTTCATTAGAATAACATCAAATGGATTGTAACTATTTGAATATAAACTTAAATATTTAACTAAGAACAGATCATTTATTTTTATTTTATATCATAAAAACCTGTTGATGACGATAAGGATACTTGAGGAATCGTCTAGAATCAAAATCCTCTGCTTTCTATAATTCATACTAATGAATAAGTCAATCAAAACAAAAACAGACAGCTATTTTTAGTTAACGTTATCATCTTTATATTTTACCTATAAAAGAAAATCGGTTAGTAATTTGATAAAAGCATATCAAACACATATTGACATGGATATGATTGATACATCATTGAGACAGACTATAAATAAGTAGAATAAAGATCATATTAATAATGGTTAATTATATGTTTAAGTTAGAATGTGGTGTGTGCTACTTAAATCGACATAAGTATTATATGACGTTCGGAATAGAATGTCTGGCAGCAGAGAGACAAGACGATCGAACAGTAAAGAATGGGAACAGAATGGAATTTGTATAAAAATGCAAGAACAATGAAGCCTGAGTCATTTTAAGACAACTGATGGACATTTTGCATGTTGAGCATAGTTCTCAGATTTTATTAAGATGCTCTGTAATTTTGTGCTCAAATACGTTCGATTGTCCCCACTAGTGTTCTTGTTCACTATAAGCATACCAACCATTGAATCAATCTTTAAGTATCTTGTACCATGATTCAAAATCATTTGTAATTTTTCTTAATGGTGATTTAAATGTAGAAGCATTAATATGAAGGTATTTCAGTTTAGCGTATTTCTTCTATGATATTAGAATGTACATCATATTTATCAATAGACAGTTTCGTAATTAACTTTTTTTAGTATCAAAATGAAAAAATAAAAACTAATTGAAATGGTATTAATTTACCTGAATTATTGTGAAACACCAGGTTGATAATGTTTTTTTTTCTAGCATTGAAAAACAGAAAGCATTCGACAGTTGTGTCATTCTACAACTTCACTATTCAGTAGTGTACGTATACAAATAAGAAATTTTGCTTAGCTAAAGGCATATAACCTCTGGATTACTGAGTCTGAGTTTCCCTTGATTAGTTGAGTCCAATCATATCAAATGTAAGTAATCTACCATCCAACATCATCATTATAAACAATACTAAATGAGTATAACAAGTAATTTTGTGTTGTATACACTCACACCACTATATTCCATGTTCAGCAGAATGCTTGAAAGAAATGAGACATTTTCCTACTTACATAACGAATCATCACTGATAATTATATCTAGTCATTTATACTAACCAATGTCAGTATGAAGAGTGAGATTACACATATGGAAACAAAAGTAAGTTTAATGATATAATTTATGCTAATTAAATATTGTGGAAGGAAACTAAGGGAATATTCTTGAAATCAATTTCGAAGAATTCATTAACTAGTTGACACTAACCATCTGGAAGATTCTTATCACCATTCATAATGTTTACAAGAACAAAACAAGAAAAACACAAAATTAATCACCCCCATTATTGGTTATGTGTTTCATTCTGATGTTTCTAATACTCCATATAAAAAAGTAAATCAAAAGAAATTACTATTTATATTATTTATTCCAATGAGTCTCTTCATGATTTCACTCAACATAAGGTTAGTACTACGTTTGAAGGGATTACAATACCACCTAAGTCGGCAAACAAAGTGAAGGATCAACAGCACAACGACAAGATAAGCTAAACTATTCCAATATGCCCCAGCCCTGATAACTAGATGTAGAAGACTAGGTTCAGCAGAGGGAAAGATATATTCCACAAGTAGCCAGAAGCATTAACAAACAAGCATACAACTTTAAAGTATATATACTTTATAAAAATGTCCTGGGAAAACATAGCAAAATAGTGTAATAAAAGAGGGAACGAACCAATGACATTTTAAGGTCTTTCCAAGTGGGAAATACAATCTGAAGTAAAACTAAGCGCTTTTGGCGAAATTCAAACTTCCGAAATAAGCTTATAAAAATATGATGTTTACCAAGTGATTTCTGAGGATCTAACATTTTCAAACTTTAGTAAAGATATGACTTTTTTTAAAAATCATATTTTCTCAGTAATGTCGTAAGATTGATTCAATCAAACCATAAAATTGATATATTCATAAACTAGTTTCAACAGTCCATATTACAGAATTCATTGTATCCAAGTATATGATTCTCTATGCATAGACTTACATAATAATATTTATTTATTCTGTTTATTTTTTGACATTATGCATAGAATATTATCAATTTATGAATATATATCTATCATATATTCTTAAATTAGACAATCAAATGTAGTCTATTCCATATCCATAATGTTTAACATAGGCATGATTCAAATCAGTACCTTTAAAATTAATTTACGAATATATCATAGATATCAGATAGTTTACAACAAACGTAAATATTTATGTATCGTTTCTTAATTAATAATCTATTAGATATATATATGTACATATGCCTCATATGAATGAATTACTCATTATCAGCAATTGAATAGGTAACTGTACCAGTAACTGCTACCAGTTATTAATTATTTACAATGAATGTAGAAATAATGTTTATATTTCTAAAAGATTAAAATTATCTTAACGATATCACAATATAAAACCTAATGTTCCAAGATAGATTGTGGCTATCAATGAAGTGCCTAACGTACGTTTCGAATTATTTGAAGCATTTCAGCTAGGTTTAACTACATTTCATCGACAAGATATTCATGATTATAATCAAATCCAGTACTTATTTTAAATGACAATATATTATCCAAATAACTACCATCGACATTAACACCATTGGATGCTGGCTCAGTTGTTTAAAGGTTAAGTCTTCATTTAGATAAAAAACTCAGTAGACATAACAAAGCTTATATGTTTCACAGACTTAAGTTTAAACATACATTCAGGTAAATGCCCTTGATCTATATTGTATGCTAGTTGATGTGTATTGAAAATTTATGTTGAAATGATGGCTTCAGGTTGGATCTGATTCCTACATTCTGTACATACCATTTATCAGCTATGATAATATTAAGAAATGAAATAACTGTTTATCATAAAATGAATTCAAGATTTATTATTATTACCGTTATTAATGGCTTTATTCAATAGCAAATATTGGTACAATATAGAATTCTCAGTACAAAGTATTTCAACAAGTTTCTTTCACAAAAAACAAAACAACAAAAAAAGGGGGGAAGGTGAAAAAAGATCTGAAACTGTACAACTTTCCAAATTAAAAACATGTTTAAGAATACAGGTTATTGACTAGGTTAACTCTAACAACCTGTTCGTCACAGAGTATGTTTACTAGGTAAGGTATTATAGAATTTTTATACTTTTGCTTGTGTGCATGGATTTAAATGTAATTATGTCTCGTTCCACCAGAAGATATACAAGAAGAAAAATAAGAGTGAAGGAGATGGTTAGTATTTGATAAGATTGTACCATTCCATGAAAAACTTTCTATTCAGTCATTATCATTTGGATATCTGTAGACTTAGTAATAAATGATTATAAATATAACTATTTACTTTTTTATTCATATATTCATTTCAGAACACTCAACACCAGAATTTGAAGAATTTTAAAGCTTTTAGGTCGTAAAGTTCGTCTTCGTAACTATTCCGGATATATTGGCGGATTGGACTATCGGAGTAAGTTGTCTCTTTGATAATTTTTTTTCAGTGCTAATAACTTAACATTCTTATTTCAAATTCTACACATATGTTTTCAGCAGATACGATCACTACTAAATCCCTAAGTACAATTGTCTATTGACTGATTATCAATGTTAAAAGAACACTTATTTGGTGCCACAGTAGCTAGGATGCAGCTGGACGATTTAGACTTCGCAGATGATCTGGCCCTTCTATCGCCCATGCAACGAAAAATTCAGGAGAAGACGACTGGTGTAGCAGCAGCCTCAGCAGCAGTAGGTCTCAACATACACAAAGGGAAAAACAAGATTATCCGATACAACACAGCATGCAACAATCCAATCACAATTGACGGAGAAGATTTGGAAGATGTAAAAACCTTTACATATTTGGGCAGCATCATTGATGAACAGGGTGGATCTGATGCAGATGTGAAGGCACGGATCGGCAAAGCAAGAGCAGCATATTTACAACTGAGGAACATCTGGGACTCAAAGCAACTCTCAACCAACACCAAGGTCAGGATTTTCAATACAAATGTCAAGACAGTTTTACTGTATGGGGCAGAAACCTAGAGAACTACAAAAGCCATCATCCAGAAAATACAGGTGTTTATCAACAATTGTCTACGCAAAATACTTCAGATCCATTGGCCGGACACTATTAGCAACAACGTACTGTGGGAGAGAACAAACCAGATCCCAGCGGAGGAAGAAATCAGGAAGAATCGCTGGAAGTGGATAGGACACACATTGAGGAAAGCACCCAACTGCATTATAAGGCAAGCTCTCACATTGAATCTTCAATGTGAAATGAAAAGAGGAAGACCAAAGAACACATTACGCCGAGAAATGGAGACTGACATAATAAGAATGAACAAAAAAATGGATAGAACTAAAAGTGAAGGCCCAGGACAGAGTGGGTTGGAGAATGCTGGTCAGTGGCCTACGCTCTAATGTGAGTAACAGGCGTAAGTAATTAGTAAGTAATGACATCGTTCAAGTGTCACTGTTAACGTTAATTTTCTGAGCGTACTTTATTTTGTTCAGAGAAAAATTAATAGATTCAGTAGTCATATATGTACGATCGAAATTCCAGTAAAACAGTCGATAATAGAACATTCTAGTTCCTTCAAAAATAAACTTTAAATAATTTCTTTTTTCAGCTGACAACAACTTCATTTGAGCATGTTTAGTCACTCTAATTAGTTGTCAAATATCCCGTGATGTTGTATGATGTAATAAGGAGATGAAGATTATCAGAACTATACGATATTATTACCGTAATTCATTTCAAGCACTGTAATAATCTTTCTTCTTATTACACTATCTAAGGTAATAATTGTTTTAAAGTTCCTATCATTATTTGGACTGACTTAAATTATTTATGTTATTACGGATATAATACAAAATACGCTTCTAGATGTGAAAGATATGAATAGGTCGAAATTAAGACACATCTACTCGATGAAGCTGTTGTAATTTGACATGAAATGAATAAAATCCTACCTCATGAATATATTCAGTTTTTCAAGTATATTCCACAATTCATACTATTATGAAACTTCAGTAATATAAATGATTGTGGGATAGTGGAGATAAGTCTTTAAATATACTGCATTTTGGTTTATTATTAACCTCTTATATACGTGAAAACACGGTTCGATGTGTACATTATTGATATATTACTAACAAATCATTAACTTCAACTATTGAATGAATGTAATTTTTTACAAAACAACAAGCGAGCCTATAATTTATGACGAATCAATCAGATATAAGATAACAGGTCTTGGATTCTGGCATGAAATTCATCCATCTATTTGGACAAATAGCGTTTTGAGATTTAAGCTGATATCAGTTCGTGATGAAAAATCTCAATCTAATTCCTAACAATCAACTGTAAATCATGATTCTAATTCTTCGCACTGCTTTATAAACCTCATTTAGATCCAGTTAGTAGGTGGACATTCTCAAGGTTACGTTAGCATCTCACAAAGGTCGTCCATAAATTATAGTTTCACCAAACACCACAGCTAATTACGTAATTACCCACGCCTGTTACTACACTCCACCCAACTCTGTTCTCGGCAATCCCTCCCAGTTCCTACCAGTTGCTATTCATTCTTTCTATCTCTGTTTCCAATTCTCCGCTCAGTGTGTTCTTTGGCTTTCCACTTTTTCCTTTTCTCCTTACAATTCCAAATTAGCATTCGCCTCGTGATGCAGTTTGATGATCCCATCAACCTCTTTTCCTAATTTCCTTCTCAACTGGAAGCCGGTTTGTTCTCTCCCACAGTAGATTGTTGTTGATGGTATCTGGCCAATGGACATTGAGTATCATACGTAGACAAGTGTTTATAAATACCTGTACATTTTGATGATGATTATGGTAGTTCTGGAAGTTTCAACTCCGTATAGTAGAATTATCTTGACGTTCATATTGAGTATTGTGACTTTGATATTGGTTGACAGTTGTTTTGAGTAGCGTATGTTGTTCAACCGTAGGATTGCTATCCTTGTTTTGCCAATCCTCATCTTTACTTGCACATTGGATCCTCCTTGTTCATCGAGGATGCTAAGTAAAAGTTTCCACGTCTCCCAGAGTTTCTCCACCAAGTGTGATTGGATTGATGTTCTCTGTGTTGTATTTGAGAATGTTGCTTTTTCCCTCACGTATTTTGAGGCCACACTGGTTGTATTGACCTGCATTTGTTGATATGTATGTGGTAGAAGTGTCAGGTCATCTGAGAAGTTCAAATTGTTTAGTTGCATCTCATCTGTTCATCTTATTCCGTGATTCCCCTCAGATGTGGAGGTCTTCATAATGCAGTCAACCATGAGAAGAAAGTGAAAGGAGTCTTGTCAGACGCTGGTTCTCATTTGGAATGCATCTGTGAGCTGTCCTTAATGCACGACTTCGCGATGTAGTCCGTTGTATGAATTCCGTATTATGCTCACCATCTTCACAGCTACTCACACCATGGTGTCAAAGAATTTTCCATAATGTTCTCCTATTCACACTGCTTAATGCCTTTTCATAATCAAGGAAGTAGATGTTTAGTGACGAGTTCCATTTGATGGTCCGTAGTGTGGCGATTTGATCTGTTAGCGACCGATTCTTACGGGGTCCAGCCTCTTGATCTCAAAGTCGGGCGTCTACTGAGTATTTCATCTGGTTTAACAATACTCTATCAAAAACCTTTCCTGGTACCGATAGTAGTGTGGTGCCTCAGTAGTTTTCACACCTGCTCAGATCTTTTTTTGGTATCTTGATGAGGTTTCCTTCTTTCCGGTCAACCTGCACTTGTTTTTCCTCCTTAGTCTTTCAGACTAGAACGTGAGGCATTTTTACAGTTACTTCTATGTCTGACTTTAGTGCTTCGGCTGGCATATTGTCAGGTCTTTCTGCTTTCCCACTGTTGAGTTGTTTGATAGCCATACTGATTTCTTTGATCGTTGGTGGAGTGACAGATATAAGAAAATCTGTTTGTGCTCCTTCAATATCGGGTGGATTCAATGGAGCTGGTCTATCCAAGAGTTCCTCAAAGTATTCCACCAAACTGTTCCTCTGTTCTTGAATTTCATTGATTGGCTTGCCTTTTTGTCCTTGACTGGTCTCTTTGGTTTACTATATTTCCCTGCCTGTTTCATTGTCGTGTCATATAGTTGTTTGATATTCCCTTCTGTCGCAGCTTTTTCCGCTCTCGTTGCTAGGTCTTCCATGTAGTTCTGCTTGTCTGCTCCAATACTCTTCTTCACTCACTTATTCGCTACTGTGTATTCAGCTTGTGCCTTGGCTTTTTCTGTTCTTGTCCGACTGTTGTTAATTTCTGTCTCCTTGTTCTTTCTCTCTTTCTTATTGAATCCTGTTCAGATTAACAACAGAGATCGAATCCTTATGATGACACTTCAGGGGGCATAGAATCTCTTGACACGTTGTAGTTAGGGCTTCTTTGATCGCTTTTGTTTGTTCTCCATGGTAGTTTTCTCTCTTTTGAGTTGATGTTGTAAGGCTTGGATCCTGTTGTTGAGAGTTATCCTGATTTTGGTGAATTTTTCAGTATATCGTATGAAGGCTCTGTTGAACGTTTGTTATGCTGTTTTTCCAGTTGTCCAGTGCTTCTTTAGCCTCAGTTTCATCTTGGTAACCATCAATTGGTGGTGATCTGAACTTATGTCAGCTCTTCTCTTTGTTCTCACGTCTTTTTTAACCTTGTGAATTTTTTACTGATGCAAATATAATCTATCTGGTTTTCCGTGGTGTGGTCCGGTGAGATCCATGTAGCTTTGTGTATGCGTTTGTGTGGGAATATTCTGCCTCCTATAATCAGTTTGTTGAAAGCACATAGATTTGCAGAGCTTTCATCATTTTCATTCACTTCTCCCAGTTAGTCAGTGTCGTCTCATGATATCTTCATGACCGTTGTTGTCCATGCCAACTTTAGCGTTTAGATCTCCCGTCAGGATGATGAGATCCTTTCTTGGGCACTTCTCTATGATCGACTGCAGCCTCTCGTAGAACTGGTCTTTATCATCTTCATTGCTATCATTGGTGTGTACATAACATATCGGGACGAAAAGGCTGTTCAATACCCCCATAATTTCATTGGTGGTCTATCATTGATTGGTTCATGATCTCAATCAAAATAATGTAATTTACTATAAGTTTTAAAAAAAATACTTTTTAAAATTTATTTCAGCTGCTAGTGGTTTATTAATGAATGAACAATATTTGCTATTTGTATAGTTATAAACAGAAAAAAAAAAGATTTTCAACTGTGAACCATTTCTTTTTTAAGGTATCATTTAACATCTGGTTATTTGTACAGAACTGAAGTTACTATAGAGAAATTATTTTCTAAAATAAATTTTGATTGTCATTCTTAAATAGTGAGAGAATTGCAATAAAGTGGAATTGTCAAGCTCTAGAAGACTGGGTTTCAATTGACATTAAAATTATATATATATATATATATATATATTACTGAAAATAACTTTTGGTATCGCTGTTAGTGGTATAGGATACGCATCCGTTAGTTAGTAGCTCATCTATTTCCCAATATTGAATAAGTGTACAACATTTAGCATTTCTTTGTTCAATGACTGAATGAATGGTGATTGTAAGGACATAGTTTTCTATGTGAATTTCATTTAAAGCTACACTTTTCATCTTCTTTCTTCTTGTTTTTGATCTGTTTAATTGGAATTTTTAGCAGTGACCCGTTCACAAGAGATATAAGTAGTTACCTTATAAATGATTAAAATGAGAATAGCATACTTATTTGCAGTACTGATACATTTAATGAGTGAAAAAATGCTTCAAAATACTAGATATGATTTTACTGAACATCTAAAATGGATGCCTATCCTCACACTTATAAGTATACAGTGATTAATTAGACTTTTCTACTTTGGAAGCCTTTTCTAATTTAATAAGTACTTGTTATCTATTGAATGTTGTTAAAATGATTGAGAAGAATTATAGCTCAGGTGGATGAGAACGAAACTTCATCAAAATTAAATGTTGTACTATTCATAACTCATTTAATTTGAATGTGCTTTAATGGTAATAGACAGCGAATTTTCGGTTAATCTCAAAATGAAAAGAAAAACAAACCTATTTTTCCTCATTACATTAGAACATTATAACTGAATTGGTAGTGACAATTTTGTCAAGACTCAAGCCACTAGTTGATTATCATTTAAAATACTGTGGAGGCCCGTTATTTAGATCGAATGATGTTGTCAAAAGGGCTCTCCACTTTAGTGACCCGTGATCTGACTCCAAGGCGATCGTAATTATGATTGTTTTTGAAATATATATGTCGCCTATCCTCGTATGTAATCATCGACTTTAATCGCGCTAGTCACTAACGGAATTAAATAAGTCGAATAACGAGAACGGACTTGTGAATAATTATATTTTGTATATGAAGCGAATGGAATAGAGAGAAGAGAAACAACGTACAGTGGAGATGGCTGGTAAGCCAACTCCCCTTTAACCAAGCGTTAATCAATAATTATAGTTACACAAAAGTAAGTTACAGACATGTGATGAGTACTGGGATAAGAGATGTACACACACCTACGCGCTCAAGATTGATGAGCGAATAATCAACAAGGTCAGAATGTGACTCAAGTAAGATGAATGAAATGGTATGTCCGAAACCTAGAATAAGGTATATCGGTTTAACATAATAACCGACACTACAATATAAATTTTATGAATAACTTTCATTTAAAATATCTTTGTACTATTCAATCTATAGATCAAAGCTGAATGTACTATTTTCAATAATACAAGACATTTTATGATTCATTTTGACCTTCATTGAAATAAATAGATAATAATAATAATAATTAATTTACAGGATTAAGAATTTAATGATGATATAACCGTTTTCTGCTTCATTATAAAAATATCAGAATTTACTTCTGATGATTAGAGTTACTCTTTAAGTTACAAAATGAATGGTTATTATAAAGTAACAAAATGATCCATATCATAAATCAGAGAAAATAACATTTAAAATGAAAATCAATCAATAATTAAACATTTTAGCATAGTTACATTTCAGTTGTTAAGTCAGAAACATGGTATTCTATGTTATATATAGATATATGTTTGAACATGTATCTAAGTACATGGGTTTTTTTATAAAATGTAATTCTATCTTCACATTTAGATGACTCAACTGGATTGGAAACGTATGTTACTGAATTTCGTGGAACAAATATTGTATTCCTTGTATCTACACTTCTTCCATATGAACCTAATAAAACAGAACAGGTAAAAAGTTGAACTCTTAATTGAAAGTTATATATATATATATATATATATATATATATATATGACCGTTTTGTTTTACAATTCAAGATTAAACGTGAAATTAATTATTCTATGAATTAAAGTCAATGATAGTTTCACTTTTAATGAATCTGTAATATAAAGGCTGAAAAAATTGAACTATGGAGTAGTTATAGTATGAAATTCTCTATCAATTAATTATCAGTTTACAATTTAAATTGAATGTGTACCAGTTAACATTGTCATATATGATATATTAGTATGGTGTATGTTGTTACTTATGTTTGCAGATATCAGTAGCATGTAATATCAGTGGGAAATGTAATGTTTGCGAGAAGAATGTTGAGAACATTGAAATGAAACAAAAAGGGAAGGAAACTAATAGTAATCAAGATAACAGTAGGAATGAAGGAAAAATGAAGCTTGTAAGAGACAATTCAAAGAAGATGTGCAAATAATGTATTTGATGTACGATTTTCATACTTTACTAAACTATTATGTGATTGTGCAGTAAACAATAAATTGCTTCTCCACACCTAAGTATTTGTTCACTATGTTAGCATAGCGAAAACAAAGAATAATAACAAAATAAGGTAGAAATCGTTAAGAAGCAGTTTCCATTTCAATGAATGTATAATTATCATTAATATATGGATCAAAGATAACAAATTGAAATCGACGAAATAAATTTTAGTAATGTTGCTCAATTTAGAGGATGATTTTTTTTCAAATGAATGAAATTTACCAATGCTACTGATTCTATTACTTCATCCAAAGTCAACAATCACTGATAACAAATAATGAGTGGACCTCAGTAATTAATTAATAGAATCCCTAAATATTGCAACATTGTATGACCTAGTCAGCTACTGAAAAACATTCAGAAATATATAGTAACATATTATTAACATGCGATTTTATACGATTTATATACAGACTTCACTATACTCTATTTTAGTGTCTGGTTACTATGTTAAGTCCATATAACTTATTCTAGCTTCTGAACAGAACAATTTATCCATTCTACTGGAGTCATATTTTAACCTTGTTATTGATTCAGTTATCAATCCTGACTTTTTATATGAGCGTATGTATGTGCACTTCTTATCCTACTCATCACGTGTCTATAGCTTGTTTTTGTGTGATTAGAAATACTGATCAACGCTTGATTAAGTCGAGTTGGCACTGAGCGCCATCTCGTTTCGCTTCTCTCTCTTCTTTTTGCCTTCATAGCTTTGTTTCTCCGATCTTTTTTCTGGATCAAGGATTGTATGAAATATACGTATTCGAATTCCATTCTCGTATTTGACTTATTTAATTCCGTTATTCACTAACGTACATTAAATCCATAACTATATACGAGAATAGCCAGAATTTATATTTTAATAACGATCATTCGTACAATCCAACTGCAGTCAGATATTGAACCACTAAAGTGATGAGACTGTCGATAACATCGTACGCTCTAATTGACGTCAAAATATCGACCCGCTAAACCATCATAATTTAGACTTCGTATTAAACGTAGCTGTGTATTAAAGAAAATAAGCTTTAATAGATTTTGATAGATGATCTATCATGAATTAAACTAAGACAGGACATTGATTCATGATACCTATCAATGTCAAAATGAATGCTAAAAAATTAAAATATTCTAGGCAAAGACACAATTCTTATTATAATACATGTATACAAATGAGTCTTCACTCAGTGGTGTAATGGTTAAGTGCTAGCCTTAAAGCCAAAAAGTCCTATATTTAATCTCTAGTATGATCGTGGATGTTCCCTTCCAAGAAATTCCATACTAACATTAAACAGCTGTTCAATTCATTTGATGCTTGTTTAACCAAGCTCAATACTAGATGCTAACTATAAGATTCCACAATCTCTGCAAACTCCTTATATCGTAAATAATATGTTGTTGTTTTGTATAGTTACCAATGGGTACGCTAAATATGCAAAGTTTATATGCCTTAGTAAATTAATGGCGATAAACAATTAAACGACAGTTAACGATCTAAACAAATTCTTATAAGTTAAATATTAGTTTTTTCGGTTGATATCCAAGTTAAATCACCCTGTAGAAACAATAGTACTAAGGACCAATAAAATATAAATGTAATAACAATTCAATGGAATGTATCAACTAATTACTTTCAACATTTCTGTTTGTCTTATAGAGTAATAGTAACAATGTAACATGCTTACAAACATGTTTTGAAGTTGCATCATCATCTTCATATGCAATGTTACGTCAATCTTTCACAGATATGTTAAGATGTCATATTTTATGTTACTTTTTTGATGATGATTTTTATCTTGGCGTCAATTTTTGTCATTCTCAACTGGAATGAATGTCTGTGTATTCTACTGTGTTACCTAACAGTTCTATATTAAGTGCTCTAGTCAATATAGTTAACTTTGTCTGTGGAGTAAGATTGCTTACATATTAAAAATACCGATTATTTAACTAGTAAGCAGAAGACGTAAACTTTTTTCACGTATTCTGATTTAAGAAGCTTTGTAGAATAAGTAATCCGCATACAAATAATATGTAACTCGAAATTTGTATCTGTCAGTGAAATAACGAAACGATCTATGTCAGACAACCAGTGAAAATTAGGATATATTAAATAGATTCTTTATCCTTGAATAGGATTCTTCAGCAGGGCACATTCACGCATCCACCGTAGATGTATGTACAAAAGTTATTACATCTGTTAATCAATGTTGATTTGTTGTCGAAACAAACGTCTATGTCAACACCCTGTGTGCTTGAGTTGCTACATTGTAGTATGTAAACGATTGAAACAGTATTTGTAAGCAATGATGGATAGTGGTTAGCAGTGGAATCCAGGACGCGCGTTTCGCCCTATTTGGGACTCGTCAGCTGGATTTACCTGCATCTCAGAGTTGATGTCCACTCTAAGACTCGAACCCATTACCATTCGCTTCAAAAGCCAAGCAATACCAAGTGTATTGAAACACTACTTGATAAAATCTTTTCTAAAGTATTTTGTCTAATTACTCAATGATAATATTTTAAAATTTTGAAGATCACGCAGCTGGATACTAAAAACTAAAATAAACAGTTATGGCATCATATATATATATATATGATGATAAAGAAAAATTGCAGTTCACATAGATGCGTTCGGTGATATTGCGATTTCTGACCGAGATGGTCTGATTAAAGAGTTTTAATTGTCATTCCAGACAACATCATTAACGACTACTTCACGTAAAAAAAATATGATTTACCATTATTACACAAATGTTGCATCAGTTCACCTTATGAATATCATTAAAGTTTTAAAAGTGTGATATTCAATAAAGATTTAAACTATTATCCAATAAGCAAGAGGTTAGTCAATCACAAGACTAAACGTTAGCCCATAAAAGCAGTCAACATAAATGCAAGAAAACACGAAGACATAAAACATATGAAAAATCAGTCCCAAACAAGATCATCAGAACGAATTACAGAATTTATAGAATAACTGAAAAGTTTACTTTTAGGTGAAGTAATTGCTAATAATATTGTTCAGGAATGATGATGAAAGCTCTGTAATCAAACTAAACCAGGAAACTATCACCATTGGATGCCGGCTCAGTGGTCTGGTTGGTTTAGCGTTCACACGCGAGACTAAAGGCCCTGGGTTCGAATCCCGCGAGCAGGATCGTGGATGTGCACTGCTGAGGAGTCCCACAATAGGACGGAACGGCCATCCATTGCTTCCAGGTTTTCAATTGTGGTGGTCTGACATCAATCGGTTCATGATCTCAATCAAAAACATAAATCCTATATATATATATATATATATATATATATATATATATATATATATATATATATATAGTACCGATCAGCAAATCGATTGATTAAATTACATAATAATGTATTTAAAATTAAAATAACTTTCTATCATATCCGTTATCCTGATGTACTATTTTGAATGAATCCTTTTTTTCATTTTTTAAACTGAGTAGTAACTAAAAGTTGGTTATACACTTCATTTTTCAAAATAGGATCTAGAAATCATTATTTTTACAGTTTGTGTTTGACATGATGATGGGGGAAGTAGGTCTAATCACCATGAACTGTGAACGATGTATAAAGCTAATTTCTTTCGATGACATTTAATCTGTGACATTTTATCATGTATATTTTTCTCTTAATAATTTGTTTATGAACTTACTATTTTACAATACAAGAAACTTTTCAAACCAGTTATCTTCACTTAACTACTAGTTTGTTCGGCAGTTTACGTGAATTATCTGATTTCGTCAGCAGTCATTAATCAAACACATTATATCATTACACCCATCTGTTGATCAATATTATGTTCATTCCTTTTTTCACAATCCGAATCATATCCATCAAATACAGCTTTATATAACATTTCTTTCGATCATTAAGTAATGCTCGCTGAAGATGAATAACTTATTACTTCAGTTTAGGACATCCTAGCTAAATGATGCGCTAGGTCAATCAGGTTCACGTCAAATCTTATGCAAGAGATTATAAAGGGCTCACGCCATTTGTTGAGAAAATGTAGTGTACTATTGCTTGGAAATATGCTTTTATTTTCTGTGGAACAAATATCTATATTTATGAATGCATTGTATCTGTATTCTGAAGCGGTGGCTTACTGGTTACAACGTTCTACTTTCACCCATTAATTTCCATGCTGAAATCCAAATTCACATACTTCAATTTGGGGTAACCAGATAGTACCATATGCCCTCATACTTCAAGTTTAGTCTATACCTAAGCACCTAGTGATTGAGTTAATTATTATGACACTTTCGACTCGGTTAGTCAATAAAAGCTATTTATTCATTCTTCGTTCTACAGCTCGAATGGCTGTTTGGGCTAGCTGTTATATATAAACATATATATATCGAACTTAAATAGTCACGGAACGTAACACTGTGTAGTTCATTCTATGTAACATTTATTTACTACATAATTTTTAACACTCCAATTTCTACGTTTCCCACTATAGACTGTATATGAGTATAGCGACACAAACACAGTAAATACCTGTGTTACATAAATCAAAATTTAACTATACTTAATTCACTTTAAGTAATGAATAGTCATGTTTTATACATATTAGTTATTTTTTTTACTCTTCCATTTAGTACTTATATATTCAAAATCATTTATTTATTTATTACATTTAATTACAGTTGGTTACATGTTAGTTATTTAATATACATTATCAGAATGGGTTTTGTGGAGATTCTTTATAAATTCCACTGGTTGGATGCCGGCTCAGTGGTTTAATGGTTAAGTGCTCGTGCGCGAAACCAGTAGGTCCTGGGCTCGAATCCCGCGGTGTGCGGGATCGTGGATGCGCACTGCTGAGGAGTCCCATACTGGGACGAAAAGGCCACCCAGTGCTTCCAGGTTTTCCATGGTGGTCTAGCTTGAATTGACTCATGATTTCAACAAGTAATATATATATTTTTTTCATTTCTAATAATTCATTTTGTTTATATATAGTTAGCTAGAAAACGACATATTGGTAATTCATCTGTCACATTTATATTTGTTGAAGAAGATGCTATGCCATTTCAACCGGATACAATAATTTCAGGATTTCAAAAAGTATTCATTATAGTTAAATATATTCGTTTAAATAATGATGTTGATGATAAGAATAATTATAAATTTGGTTATCGGTAAGTTTAATTACATAGATTTGCCATATGTACTTATATATATACATACATCACTTACTCCTGTTACACCTCGTGATAGAGCATAGGCCGCTCACCAGCATTCTCGATTCAACCCTATCGTCAATAATCATTCCAAGTTCATTCCACTTGCTATTCATTCTTTTCATCTCTCTATCCGATTCTCCGCGCAGTGTGTTCATCGACTTTCCACTTTTCCGTTTCCCCATAAGATTCCAAATTAGCACTTGTCTCGTGATTCAGTTTGATGACTTTCTCAATGTGCGTCCTATACACTTCTAACATCTTTTCCTAATTTCCTTCTCAATTGGAAGCCGTTTTGTTCTCTCACACATTAGGTTGTTGCTGATGGTATCCGTCCAACGGACATTGAGTATCATACGTAGACAACTGTTTCTAAATACTTGTATATTTTGATGATGATTATGGTAGTTCTGAAGTTTCAACTCCGTTTAGTAGAATCATCTTGACGTTCATATTGAGTATTATGACTTTGATATTGGTACTGTTTTATACATTGAAGATTGGTTAACTAAAACAAAACACTTATTCGTAGGATTCCAATAGAACTCAAAGGGAATAATATTAGATCACAATATGATGTGCTGTAACTCTTCAACGTCAAGATGTAAGAGAATTAGACAAGTTTCTTAAAAGAACATTGTCAGATTGAATTTAGTCTGTAAAATGTCATAAACAAGATTAACCTTCATAATCTTTAAAATATCAAAAAAAAAATAGTGAGAAGTGAAACACTGATAATGAGCCCCCAAATGGCCTGGTACAGCCGAGGGTCAGGAGAGGTAGCTCTCCTTCTCGAAATGCTCTCACATGGCCTTGTGTATACAATCACTGTCAGGGAACTCCTAGTCACTGCCTTCTCACGGCATTACTTTTGTTTACGAAATTGAGAGGATGAAAAGTGAATATCCGGTGCTTTAATCGGGTTGGTGGATATGGAGGATCCAACTTGGTTAGTTGGAAAACCCTGATTCCAAACAATGGTACACATGGACTCCAGGATCCTGAGGAAATAAACGGCTTATGAACCAATCGTTGGTCACCGGCTACGATGGAACTGCATCTCCTGACGGTGGTCCAGTGCCTTGTAGACCAGACATTTAGGTAGAGGACTTCAGGTGTCTGGGCACTCGAGTAGTATCACAGCCCGCACACAAATCAAGTGACTTGTGTGTCTCATATGTATTGGGTGCCCCTTTGTATCAATATTTTTGTGTTCAAATAAATAAATTGAATGAGACACTTTCTAATATTTGAAATAGGGTATTAAATATTAGTTCACTAACTGTATTTAATTCCACCATAGAACTTGTCCAAATGATTTTTATGGAATATTTCTCATTAACATTTGGCAGTGATTATATGTGTGTGACTAATGATTGGCACAGAAAATTAGGTCTGTAATATAAAGATATTACTCAGACATAAAAATATTGAATGTCTTTAATTCTGAATAAAACAGCTATAAATTAACTTCATAGTTGTTCAACAATAGTTTTCAAGGCTTTTTGTGATAAAAACTAACTAACTGAAGAATAGCTGCAAAACCAAGAAACGTTTGACAACTGTTTCTGCTTAGTTCCAAACTTCTTACATTTGAATAACCACAATATCTCACAGAATCAAACCAACACATCTCACATCTTCCAGTGATTACAATATTTAGATTACTGATTGAAAATACTAAAATTCACTTGTCTCATTTCAAAAATTTCTTAGTGTACGAATTATATGACACTAGGATGAGACGGTCATTCAGTGCTTCCAGGTTTTCAATGATGATCTAACAATGATCGGTTCATGATCTCATTTAAGACTCAACAATCTCCGCAATTCTACAGTAATTTCATTACCTACTGTTACTTATTTTCCACAAATATTATGTTTACAAAAATAGTTTAAAATAATTCCCTTTTGTGTTTTTTATTCATCTTCATTTAAATCAAACAGTGTAGCTGTTTGTCGAGCGAAAGATGTACCACAATTTGGACCAATTATATCAAGTGATTATTTATTTGAACATCATCTATCGTTTGGCAATCTATTATTAACTAAAGGTAAGCTAATATTGAACGTTTTAATTAAGAATAGATTTATTATGAAATACAGTGGTAGTCAGATTAATGACAAACTATAGATTGTAGAGGTACATTTCTCCTATATCTGACTCTAATAAGTAGTATCTCGTTAACTGAGTATTTAACACAGGCTAAATCTCCTAGTAGTATTCTGAATTTACTCGAGATTATTCAAAAGCCTGAACAGTTATAGAGATACGTTATTGTTGAAGTTTAGTAAAATGCACAAGTGTGCAGTAAGCAAGTGCACAGGGAAACGATTGTGTGTGTGTGTGTGTGTGTTAAAAATCCATATATATTTATGGGTGTTAATCGATTATGGATAAACTATTAATTGTCTGTGTTTACAACCAATGGGAGAATAGATAAAAATTGCTATGCAATCAAACTCACACATAAATTTATATAGTGGATTAAATGTCTAAATTACAGTGAGCAAACAAATAATAAAATAGTTGAATGGGCTTATTATAAGATCATCAACTGAACTACTCTCTTTTTCATCCAGTTGATTATCAAATGTACTTTGACTAATTAACTACCGTTCAACTACTGAATTCCAGGTCATTAGTTTTGAAAAACCCAGTTTTTATAAACGCTAATTTTTCAGTATTCGCCAAATTCTGTTTTTTTGGTATAAGTAACCTGACGAATAAAAAAGGAAGATCGGAACATCATTCACAGTCAAATAAGAGCAATAACTTACTATTGTAAGATCTTTAATATTTGAATGTATGATTATTGTTCTATGTATATATTTTATTCAACATTAGTCTTTTGCCTAACCCTTAAAGGTAAAGTTTTTATTTATTTTACATACGATTTCTGTTTTCTTGATATATCGCTTTCGTCGTTTAGTTTTTACTGACCCTCTTAATTTAGTTTTACTCAATTGCTTCGTTTATGTATTCTATGGTATTCCTTCTTTCAGTCCGAACTGTTGCTGCTTAAATTGATTACAGGAGGCTATCATTTGACCATAGTATTATGTTCCTAGATTGTTTGAGGTATATCAACAATTAACTAATTTATACTCCTTAAGGATTTAATCACTTAATGTTTTGCGGTGTGATTGCGCGAGGTTTAAGTAATTCATTGGTTGTTTACCTTTAAATGATCGAATCGTCTAATAGAATTACGTCCATTGTTTGTCTAAGACACATTTGTTCTCTGACAAGTAACTAGTTTCGTGTTCTTTAGACATTTATATACTTGGTGTATTTTAGATTCACTTGTATAAACTTTTTTGATTGAGATCATGAACCGATTGATGTTAGACCACCACCTTTGGAAACCTGGAAGCTCAATCAAAAACTTAATAATCTCCACAACCCTTATACTAGTAATATATAAACTTTATTGAACAACTCACTAGTTGCATGGCATAACAATGTTATTCCTTAAAGTATTTTGTATAATTTATAATGTATATTACTCGCCAATAATATTTTAATTCTAAGTGTGGTAAATAATGAGTCACTGTCACATCAATGATGGTTTAACAGATACCTGAACTATAATAGCTTGGACCTAAAAACCATGAAAAATATTTTAACTAACCAAAAACTAGAGAAATGTATAGCAACTGGTTACAACATGTTTTAAAAAATAGCCAAAGATATCCATACAACAAGGGCTTACTTGCAGTTGATGAAATGATACATGTTAGGAGGGTTAAAAACAAATCCACAAATTTATCAAACACTAAATTATACTTCCAGAAATAACGTTTGCACGTTAACGTTTCAGAGTTACATGTCCAAATGGTATTTAGACATCCAACCGTATGAATGTAACATAACGTATAGTAGTTATCCGACAAACGGTCATCTGTATAACTGAGATCATGTAATGAATTTCGAAGTATAACGTATAAACAAAGTATATTAACTCAATTTATTTTTGTATTGGTTCTTTGAATCTTGCAATTGATGTTGGGGACCGCAATTGATCACTCTGTTGTTGACATATGGGCATCCAGTACGGATTGCGTCGACATTTGCTTAAGTCACAAGCATTATAACCTGAGAATGGACGGTATCTAGCAGTGGAATCCAGGACGTGCGTTCTGTCCTATTTGGGGCTCGTCAGCTAGATGTAGCTAAGTCGCATCAACGAGAAAATTCAAACAAACTTCACCTTATTGTACAAGCTAGTGGCTATCTGAACTCAGTAGTTAAGTGGATGAAGCGAAGGCTTTCGAAGCGAATGAAACTGGGTTCAAGCCCCAAAGTTACATCGACTCTCGGATGCACGTACATCCAGCTGACGAATCCCAAATAGAACGAAACGCACTTCCTAGATTCTGCTGCTAGTCATCATTTATCATAGTGTATATTTTGTTATACGTTAATTGTCGTACATAAGATTTAAAAAAGAATGAAAAGTAATTTTATTTCTTCATAGAGAAAGTAAACAACTTGGAATGAAGATAATTGTTATAGGTATCAGTGGCAAGGTTGGACTTGATAATTTCAAATAAATTGAGCATTGGATAGAGTTAATGATAAAAATATTTTTGGTTATATCCCAATGAGTAGGAAACTTATATTTCCGACGTTCTGTTACTTAATGTAAGGCACTTCTTCAGAGTAAATAAATAATCGAAATTAAATTAACAAAAGTTTAAAAAGTACAAAGGAAACAACACAGAATATTTTTGGTACAATCAAAATCATAATAAGTTTGAATATGTCAGTGCCAAGTTATTCTTAATCAAAGTGAATTTGTATGACCTGTCACTGTAATAATTTGTGTATCAGAGTATTTTGCATTATTCCCTTTTATACTATTTAAACTTGTGGTAATTTAATTGTTGGTTATTTATTTATTCTCACGTAATGGCTTACACTAAGTCACAAAACGTCAGAAATACAATTTTTCTCACAAGTGATTAGTCATTGGGTGGTGATCAATGTCATGTGATTCAAGTCCTTCTTAGTGCAGATCGAATGAGTCAGGGAGCACCAGTTCCCTCAAGATTACGGGTATACTTTGCTGACGATTGCCAAGGAGCACGAAACCTGGGTCCAGGGTTTCCTGACGACTACTTCCAACTACCATCTAATAAAATACTCATACTGATAACTAGGATATATTTGACAAATCTTTTAATTTGAACGCTTGGTTCGGTTTCCCTAAACTCCTCTAGTAACCCTCAGGATAAATCTACACAGCAACTTGAACATGAGAGTAAAGGTGCGAAATATATGAGAACACTTTACTCTAAGGCACTTTTTTGTACAGAAAATCTATGGCATTTATAGCATTTTAGATGACCTTGGGCTTCTGGGAAGTCCCAGTACCCTTCTAAAGACAGTAGCAGGATAGATAATCATCCAATCTGATTGGGTAAGATGTTTCTCAGCATTTTAAGGGCCCCACTGGGTCATTTTCAAAGAATTGTCAGGGTCTCTTCAACAGTATTACATGGTAAGCTCCATGCTATACAATAGTGATGATATTTTTAGTCTGTATATTAGATTTTCTACAGATTATCTATGCCTACACTATTTATGATTATTATACTCGATTGTTTGTCTGTCAATCGACTATGGGTTATTCAGATATTATAAATCACTTTGATTTAGGTGTAAATATTAATTTACTGATTCTCGAGTTAATCTAGCAATATTATAGGAAAATATCTTCAAAGTTAGTGTATATATCATCATATGATTTAGATTTACGTCGTAACAAAGATGTTTAATTGAAAGATAGTTTGTTGGTAATGTTTAAGCTCATAATATCCAGTTTTACAATCATAGACATCACCAATATGCAACTCGACTCGAAACTGACTTCCAGTGGGACTCAGACAACTATGGTAAATGACCAGTACTTGATGCTATTTTAGTTCAATATCCCGGCAGTTTGAGTGACTTAATATCGTAGTATAATTCGTTGAATAAAAACCAAGATCAAAATTTTATGCAAGTTAGTACTTTTCAATTACTTTCAAACAATGTTCATCATATTATTAGATCATTTAGATTAGAGGGAAAAGTTTAATCTGACTTATTGAGTTTAATCCGTTCTAAATGCTAGATAACATGACACTGATTATTACCGAGTGGTTAATTATTATAATACGACATTTTATTCACCTAATTTCAGTTTATTTAAGTTAGCATTATGAAAAACTATGTTATCAACGGTATTATCAAGCTAAGTTATTAACGATTCATAAACATATATTTTAACTCGATATACATGAACAAATCATGCCGTTTATAAACAAAATCACATTGTTCAAAGCTACAGTAAATATCGACAATCATTTTAACTGTTTATAATCTATAGATCTGTTTACATTCAGATATAACCTTTTATAGTACCTATTATAGATTAGTATAGATTAGTGAATAATCTGTTATTCATATAATCTACAAGGTAATTTTCTGACTATTTAACAAAACAGATAAAAATATTTTTCCTTTTTTTGAAGTAAGTTACTTTCAAAAAGCTGTTTATGTAAAAGCAGTGAACAACAATAAGCTGATTTCATCTTGGTAATTATTGAAAATCAAAGTTTTGTCGTCCTAGTTTCAAACGCATGAAATAAATTGTATTTAACTCTTGAATTTCTTCTCAGTCGGTTTGGTTATGAATACAGTGGTCTTGAGTGCTGTTAGAGGTGTGAGGGCGGTTATCACTTCCCGGCTGCCCACACTGTGGAAGGGTTCTTCTAGAGATAACTGAAAAGGAAATTGGATTGGAGGTGGTCTTAGTGACCTGAGAGCGTGACCGCAGTGCCCAAGGGACAACTGCTTGACGTCGGTCACACATGACCTTTTTGTTGGTAGTTTTTGTGTTAGCTCCGTACTTGTTGAGACCTTATCGCCGTAGACGGATATCCGTGGGATAAGGTGAGGTGTGCATTTTTAGCGTCGACCTTTTCTAACCCCACCCCTCCTTGTGGGAAGGCAGCATCTCTGTCATGCTGGCTGTCTGAAGGAAACACCTTACTGCCATCACACCTCTGTACAGTCAGCAGTACAACTTCGCCTTCGGACCTTGGGTTTACTGCTTTTAGTCTTATCGCTCTTCAACTGACCTGTCTGGCATGTTAGGACCTTGAGGAACGACTGTTTCAGCCAGTATAGCTCGATCGGTTCATCACGATAGGTAAGCTCGACCACCACATCACAGTAGCAACAACGGTCGGGTGAATTTCTTCTACATACAGAATAAATGATTCAATTACATTTGAGTGCAATTTTACTTGTGTACTTATTGACTAGATATACTTCTTATATTGAGAGCAATGGTTTATTGGTTAAGCTATTAGAATTCCACCGATTAGATTATAAGTTCATGTCCCGATTTAGTTAAGGTAGTCATCATATATGCAGTATAGCTGAAAGCGGGGCACATGATACTTTATTTGATTTCCCTCCATGTCAATGGTAAATCAATAATAAATGAGTCCATTCATTGTTTTATAGTATTGTACGTGGGGATAACCAGAAAATCACAGAATCTTTTGCAAAAATACGAGAACCAAACATTGAAACCTTCATTTGCAAAATTCTATTATTTGCGCTTCACATTTTTATGATTCTTTCAAGTCACAATTCCTTTCCATTTTCGTTTCCGTTTTCTTAAAGTTGACCTTCATAGCTTTCTATTGCCATGCATTCCTCTTCTGATTGGTGTTCATAAGTAGTATACACTACAATATTGTTACATCTTATCTGTAATAATTGTTTTTTATCTCAATGAACTTCTATTTTTTTTTAGCTATTAATGCAGCTTATGCTGTATTGAAATATTCAAAATTTCGTGAAATTATGCAACGTTCAAGAAGAGACTATCTTCATCAATTCTGTAATGAACATACAATTAATACAGAGAATGAGAATTTAAAACATGGTAAGAAAAAATTATGTTTAGTCAATTGAAACATTTAATTGTCTCTTGACAATAATTTATATTGTTTATTTGTATACAAATATGAACTAAGAATGACTTGTAACTGCCTACTGATCATTTGAAACTACAAAGTAATTTGTCAAAATTATATTTTTTAAACAACCATGTTCATGATTTTGTATTGGTTGTGTTGAGTCTTCCTATTGGTATTCAGGACTGAAATTGATCAGTCTCTTATTGGTATCTGAAAAGAATGAAACTGAGTTCGAGTCCCGGGGTGAACATGAACTCTAGAATCCAAGTACATCTGACTGGTGAGGCCCGAATAAGACGAAATACGCCCTCTGGATTACACTACTAGCCACCATCAACCATGTTCATGTTTTTATTAGTCTTTATATCATGATTATATGTCACATTGTACATAATATCTATCATTAACAAACAAATCAATTGTAAATCTACCGAAATTACTCAACATAATTGTACAATGTTATTTTTATACCGTAACATTTGAATAATTACTGGTATGAAAGCAACTAATGTCACTACAACTAATTTCCGCCATATATAGTATTCCACATTTGAAATTATTTTCAACTCTTATCCAAATGTAAATTGAAAATCTTTTCGATGTATTGATGACAGGTTGTTTTTCAATTTTTTTAAATACAAATGAGATACAGATAATGTCGTTATCATTTAGTCAGTAATAAGATGTTCCTCTGCAGAGAACATGAGTAGTCATTGTTAGACGCACCATTGGATTTTAAGTCAAGAGTCAAGAAATTAAGGATTAACACACGAGGCCGAAGTTTCTAGGTTCCAATCTTGGAAGTGGAGTCATTTATGTAAATTACTAAGCAATTTTATAATAAAATGAAATGGCTATCCAGTACTTCTAAATTTTAAATGGTCGTCTAACTTGGATTCATGATTTCAATAATATTCCATATTTGTTAAATGTTACTCATAAGTGTTCAACGCAACTTCAGCAAAGATAAAATTAAAAATCTAAATACTTATAAATTAGCACCTTTTGTTTATTTGTTTGAACACAAAAATATTGGTATGAAAAGGCATCAAATATATATGCGCCACACAAGTCACTTGATCTGTGTGTGGGCTCTGATACTGCCCGGGTAATGGGCCACACACGAAGCCTTCTACCTAAAGGTCTCATTCACAAGTCAATGGAGCAACGTTAGGAGTACAGTTCCATCGTAGCCGGTGACCAACGATTGGTTCATAAGCCGTTTATTTCCTCAGGATCCTGGAGTCCATGTGTACCATTTTTTGGAATCAGTGTTTTTCCAATTCCACTTAGTGGATCCTCCATATCCACCAACCCGATTAAAGCACCGAACATTCAGTTTTCATCCTCACAATTTCGTAAACAATAGTAATGCCGTGAGAAGGCAGTAAGTATGAGTTTCCTTACAGTGGCTGTATACGCATGAACATATAAGGGCATTTCGATAGGAAGATCTGACCTTCCTGACCCTCTGCCGTAGTAGGTCATTTGGGAGCATCCGCATCTTTAGTTTTATTTAATTTTTAAAACAATTTAGTTTTTATTCAACGTTTTCTATGAGTATACAATATTTCAGAAATTTTATACTTTACAAAACTCTCTAATCTATACTACTTCTGTAGATTTTTATTAATGCCTGGCAAAACAAACAAACAACAAACTTATCATTATCAGTATAGGGGTTGTGGAGATTAATAAATTTTTCATTGGGATCATCAACCGATTGAAGTTAGACCACCGTTGGAAACCTGAAAGCACTGAACGGCCAAATCGTCCTATTGTGGGACTCCTCAGCAGCGCGCCTTCAGTCTCGCGCGCAAACGCTTAACCTACTGGACCACTGAGCTGGCCAGCATCCAATGGTGTTAGTGTCTAACGCCAACCAATCCATGAAATTGCGCAACCATCTTCCATTGTACTGAGGTAGATACCTGTTTCTACCCGACACGGATTAGCTCCACTGGTCACAGCCTAATAATCTCCACAACCGCTATACTGATAATTAACATATGCTCACTAGTGACTAGCTTTGTGAGGGAATTTTCAAAGGTCTAGTGAGAAGCTGTGACCAGTGGAGCTAATCCGTGTCGGGTAGAAACAGGTATCTACCTCAGTACAATGAAAGATGGTCGCGAAATTGGATGGTCGGCTCAGTGATTCGGTAGGTTAAGCGTTCGCGCGCGAGGCTGAAGGCCCTGTGTTCGAATCCCGCGAGCGGGATCGTGGATGCGCACTACCAAGGCGCCCCTCAATAGGACGATTTGGTCGTCCAATGTTTCCAGGTTCTCAATGGTGGTCTAACATCATGTGGTTCATGATCTCGATCAAAAACCTATCATTCATATTCGTAAACTAAACAGAATGTGTTTTTTTTCATCTCCATCTCTCTCCTTTCTTCGTCATGTCCTCTTTTTAACTGTTTTTTTTCTATTTCAGGTAAAATGCATTTATATCGAAGACATTCACAAGATAAATTAAAACAATTAAAAAATTCAATAAAATTTCGTGTAAATGTAACCTCATCTTCAATAGATCATGAATTCATGCCTATAAAATATCATTCTGATAGAATAATACCATTTAATCAACAAAACAATAATAATAATAATGTTAATAATCCAAAATCATTTGATGATTTATATAAACTACATCAACCAGTAAAACGTAATCATTCTGAATTGTTAAAAACAAATTATGATTATCATGGAAATTATTTAGATAAATCTAATGAATATATTCATTTATCAAATACATTTCATAATTTACTTGATTTTGGTCAAAGTTTATATGTTGGTTTAAAAAAATGGCAAAAAATAGATGGATGGCATTCAGTCATGGAATTATTACCCAATTCATCATTATATAATAATAATAATAGTAAGGATATATATTCAACAGATGGTTCTGTCTATAGACCTTTAATCAATAATCATTATTTTGAAACACAAATTGGTATTAATCGAAATTGGTTAGTCATTTTTGCTCCATATACTATATCATCAGATTTAGCTAATAAAATTCTTTTAGCTATTCCATTAACATCGATATTGCTTGTTTATTTGAACATAATAGAAAAGTGTGAGTTTTTGCTATTGTTGTTATTGTTGTTGGATTTATATTATAAATTGGTATGTATTACAAGAGTTTATATGAAAGCACATTTAAAATAACATTTCTTTAATTGATATTCGTCTATATGGAGTAAATATAACTTCTAGGCGTCACAATTGATTGATCGCTGGATGGTGATCAATGTTATGCGTGTCAATTCCTTATTTACTGCAGATTGAATGCTATCAACCATGTTGCAATGTGGCTACCAGTCTAGGTGACTTGACATTGCGTGCACTATATATTGACATTAGATGGTGGTTGGAGGTAGTCGACCCAGTGATCAATTAGTTGTGATTACATCTCAGATCTACAGGAGGTCAGTCGCGGCCTGGATAGCTCAGTGGTAACGTCTCTGACTGTGAAGCTGAGTGACATGGGATCGAATCCGCCAGGGAGCACCAGTTCCCTTAAGATCACAGGTACATCTTGCTGACGAGTGCCAAGTAGCACGAAACCTGGGTCCAGGGTTTCCTGTCGACTACCTCCAACCACCATCTAATCTCAATAACTTCTAGGCGTGTTAATCAGTTGATTAGTTTAATAATGTTCGAGTGATAAACTAAAATCTTATACCGATTATTTACTATCTGTGAAATTAATCAAACTGACAGAAAGATAACATCTTTTCAGGGATGGTGAAAAGGTATTATGCAGTATGAATAAATTTCGATTGAAATGAAAGTAGAGATTTTATTTCAGATATTCAATTTATTGGTTGTCTGAATTATTGAACCATTATTAACAACATGACTAGAAAATCCAGGCTATCTGTACTTCTGTTATTTTGACTGATACAAACCTCAACATTCTTTAGTAGTTTAAATCATGAGTCGATTGAAGCTAGACCAACATGGAAAACCTGAAAGCACTAGATGGTCGTTTCGTCCAACCGGGTCAATTGTGAGATAGGAACTCACTGATGATAATGGTGAATTTGTCGCTCAATTTCGTGGACTAGTTGAAGCTAGACATTAACACCGTTGGATGCCGGCCGAGTGGTCTAGTGGTTAAGCGCTCGCGCGTGAGACTGACAGGTCCTGGGTTCGAATCCCGCGGGATGGGGTCGTGGATGTGCACTGTTCAAGAGTCCGAGAAAGGGGTAAGACGGCCATCCATTGCTTCCGGGTTTTCCATGATGGTCTAGCTTCAATTGACTCATGATCTCATCTATTGAAATTACTATAATCTTCACAAAACCCCTTCTGATACTACTCAGCATTCTTGATCGACAGTAATCTCTAGGTTGTTGTCTCAATTGAATTTATTTTACTGACTGTTTATTTGATAAAACTCGTCAGTTAGATGTACCTTCATGCCAGTGTTTATGTTCATATTGTAATTTACATTCAGTATTTCCCATTTCAAACACCAGCTATTTATTCACTAAGCTATTGTATCCAGATATCCACTAACTTGCTCAACATGACCAAACTATCCAGCTGAGAGAACGAAACTCCATGAAAAATAAAACGTCAACTAGACAAGGGATGAGGGGTAAGAGGAGACAAGGATAATAAAGACATGATGTGAAAAAAGTTTGAAACCTCATCACTCTGGATAATAAACAAATATTACCAGGGTAGGTTTAAGGTGAGAACAAACTGTTTTTGTATACACAAAAGGGGTATCATATGGATGAGGCTTCAATAAACTTTAGTATACACCCTTTTACACTTTTGTACAACGCCACAAAAGCCGAGTTAAGATCAATCTTATGGCCTGCTTCGATTATGTGTTTGCCGATAGAGGATGATGAATGTTTATCCTCTAATTTGATCATTCGATTCTTTTTGTTTCTGCAACCATTTAGATACATGTTCACACACTAATTTTAAAATCACGATTACTCCTCCCTATGTATGTGTGACTACACACACACATTTAAATTGGTAAACACTGTAGCATGTGACGTAATCGTTTTCTTGTCGTTTTGGTTTTCGATGAAGCATGAACTTTATTGCTTCCTTGATAATAACCTTTACTGCACATTAAGTCTAGTTAATGACTGGTTTAATCCTTTGTATGAATAAAAAGCTATTTGAAACACTCCTAAATGGTAAGATGATGTAGACAGGCTTTTTTCCGCCAAAGCTATAGTAGATCTCACTGTATCATGGTATTTTTCTAATATATCACATAGTTCTGATAATCTTCGTCTTCTTGCTACTTACTTACTGAATTATTTTTTATAGTTGGCGTTATTTTTCTTAGCGAGTTAGTTTTCTACGGGATGAGGTCGCTAACCCCATACCTAACCCTCCTCCTTTACTTGGGCTTGGGACCGGTAATAATTCTAGAAGAGCTACAGGCAGAGTTATCTTCTTCTTATACTATAGAAATTTAGATTAGAACTGATGAATATGATGATTAGTTAATTACATTATATGATTAGTAAATAATAATACATTTCATTATTTATTTATTTAAAGATTACGTATCTACTTTGATTGTGGACAATATGTACAAATACAAGATATATATAATTCATATGATTCAAATGAACAAAATACATTAGAACAATTAATCAATTTTATTTCTTATTGTATATATCCAAAAGTATTACAAAAGGTAAATCATTATACATTATTATTGATAAACTTATTATTATTATTATTTATTATCCATATATTGATTATTGATACTTGATTTTGTTCATTCTAAAATGTGGTACAGTCCTCATAAGATTACTTAGATTCACATAAACCTTACTTTTAATTCATTAAGCTTCTGTATGCTGCTATGTCATTTTCTTGTAACTATAAATACTAAGTTGTAAGGATTTATTTTAGTTTACTTCAAGTTTCTGTTAACGACTAACCATGGAAGTGTTATATACCCGTTTCAATTATTGATATACTCAATAGAAGTATTTATATTAAAGTAGTTCAATCGTTTTCAAATATCCAATGCTTTTAAGCTCTTACTGAATTCATTGATAAATATATCCTGGTATATATAATACACAGTTGATTGATCACTGGGTGGTGATCAATGTCATGTGTGTCAATTCCTTATTTAGTGCAGATCGAATGCTATCGACCATGTTGCAATGTGGCCAGCAGTCTACAGCAGGTCAGTTGCGGCCCGGAAAGCTCAGTGGTAACGTCTCTGACTGTGAAGCTAAGTGACATGGGATCGAATCCGCCAGAGAGCACCAGTTCCCTCAAGATTACAGGTACACTTTGCTGACGAGTGCCAAGTAGCACGAAACCTGGGTCCAGGGTTTCCTGTCGACTACCTCCAACCACCATCTAATCTTAGTATATATAATATTTAGCATGGAAAAGTCAACTCAATGTTCTTCAAAATATCATAATGGTATTGTACAAAGTTGATAGTAAATTAAGCGAGTATGTTTTGTACAATCCTGTACAATCTTGAATGAACACTCAGATGGAGAGAACTAATTTATTATATACAACACAATCACACAGTAGTTTAGTAAAATGTGAAAATCGTACATCAAATACATCCTTTGCACATATTCTATTACTTGTACCTTACAAGCTTCATTATTCCTTCATTCCTATTGTTATTTTTATTGCTTTCAGTTTCTTGCTATCTTCTCTTCATGTCAGTATTATCAACCTTTTACTTGCAGACATTTCAATTCCAAATAGTGTTACATACTACTTATGTTTCCAAACATAAGTAGAATACACCGAAATAAAACTTACTAAGGTTTAACTCAAACATTTCGAATAAATCAATTATTTAGTTTGTTGTTTATGATGATAAAGAAATATACTTTAATATACATATGAGAAGGAAATTGAATTTCTCATATTTTGCTGTTTAGTATAAGTTAATTCTTCAGAAAATAAATAAACGAATGAAAATAAACATAACTTAAAACAGTGAAACATTAGAAATCCACTTTTCTTTTCAATTCGTTAAAATAGTACGAATAATAATGTTGTACATAGCCTAAAAACAGTAATAATTAAGAAAGATAAAGGTATGTGAATTCTTATGAAGATTGTAGTAATTTAATAGTTGAATTCATGGAAAACCCGGAAGCACTGGACGCCGTTCACGTGCGAGATCGAAAGTTATGGGTTGGAATCTCAAGAGCGCGATTGTGGACACGCAGTACTGAAGAGTCCCATAATAGGATGGAGCGGTCGTCCAGCATTTATAGGTTCCCCATAGTGATATAGCTTTAATCGACTTATGAATCCAACTATTCAATAAAGGTAAGTATTTGTACTTTATATCAGGAAAGTGTTGATTAAATTCGAATTCGGTATATAAATTTAGTTTAATAAAAAGACGATCTTTCTGAATAACTTAAGAAAACATTCATAAGATTGTTTGTTTATAACTTCTATGTTTATTTTCAAAGCTATGAAAGTAGATTGTAAACACTTCGAATTCATTTAATTGATTATGCACTTTTTAATCCACTTATCTTTCATTTTTTAGTAAGATGATAATGTAAACAAATGGAAATATGAATTTGTATTAAGATTTATTAAATTAGTATAGGCATAAAACTATTAATTAGAAGTTGATAACATACTTTAAGTTCAGGTTTTTTCTCTAAATATTGACTTTTCAAGTGATTAACCATATAAACTACTCATTGGTAGTAGTGCCACTGTCTGTAAAGTTGAATGACGTGGATTTGAATATCATAAAGTATAATATTTTCTTTAACACTTCAGATACTTACTGTTGATGGATCTCAAAAATCAGCATTTGAAGTTCAAAAATTCTTATCGATTATATTTAACTATTTATTATATCTATAATATCACTGCTGAGGAGTCCCACAATTGGACGAAACGGCCGTCCAGTGCTTCCAGGTTTTCCATGGTGGTCTATCTTCAACTGACTCATGATCTTAACCATTGAAAGTTTATAATATCATTATCCTATTCAATAAGTATCATCATAATAGTAATAAGATTATCCAGAGTATATATATATTAAAATACCGAAGAAAGGCGATCTCAGCAAGTGTGATAACTACAGGGGCATCACTCTTCTCTCAATACCGGGAAAAGTCTTCAACAGGATATTGTTAAACAGGATGAAGGACTGCGTAGACGCCCAACTTCGTGACCAACAGGCAGGATTCCGTAAGGATACATCGTGTACAGACCAAATCGCAACTCTACGGATCATTGTGGAACAATCAATTGAATGGAATTCATCACTCTACATCAACTTCATTGACTACGAAAAGGCATTTAATAGCGTGGACAGAACAACACTATGGAAACTTCTCCGACACTGTGGTGTGCCTCAGAAGATAGTCAATATCATACAGAATTCATATGATGGATTACACTGCAAAATTGTGCATGGAGGACAGTTGACAAAGTCGTTCGAAGTGAAGACCGGTGTTAGGCAAGGTTGCTTACTCTCACCCTTTCTCTTTCTCCTGGTGATCGACTGGATCATGAAGACGTCAACGTCTGAAGGGAAGCACGGGATACAATGGAAATCTATGGTGCAGTTGGACGATCTAGACTTCGCAGGTGATCTGGCCATCCTATCGCAAACGCAACAACAGATGCAGGAGAAGACGAACAGTGTGGCGGCAGCCTCAGCAGCAGTAGGTCTCAATATACGCAAAGGGAAAAGGAGGATTCTCTGATACAACACAGCATGCAACAATCCAATCACACTTCACGGAGAAGATTTGGAAGATGTAAAAACCTTTATGTATTTGGGAAGCATCATTGATGAACAGGGTGGATCTGATGCAGATGTGAAAGCAGGGATCGGTAAAGCAAGAGCAGCATATTTACAACTGAGGAACATCTGGAACTCAAAGCATCTGTCAACCAACACCAAGGTCAGGATTTTCAATACAAATGTCAAGACAGTTCTACTGTCTACTGGGGCAGAAACCTGGAGGACTACGAAAGCCATCACTCATAAGATATAAGTGTTTATTAACTGTTGTCTACGCAAAATACTTCAGATCCGTTGGCCGGACACTATTAGCAACAACGTACTGTGAGAGAGAACAAACCAGATCCCAGCGGAGGAAGAAATCAGGAAGAAGCGCTGGAAGTGGATAGGACACACATTGAGGAAAGCACCCAACTGCGTCACAAGACAAGCCCTCACATGGAATCCTCAAGGCCAAAGGAAAAGAGGAAGACCAAAGAACACATTACGTTGAGAAATGGAGACAGAAATGAGAAAAATATACAAAAATTGTATAGAACTGGAAGGGAAGGCCGAGGACAGAGTGGGTTGGAGAATGCTGGTCGGTGGCCTATGCTGCATTAGGAGTAACAGGCGTAAGTAAGTAAGTAATATATATATAAATTAAAATCTATTTCAATAAGAACTTTCGTCTAAATTTGAACGAATAGTTTCACAATATTTGAGCGCCGAGTTAATGTGAGACATTAAAGAGGAAGAATGTACTTTAAACATTGTTCACGTTGATTGGATGAATTTATTCAGTATACAGTAAAATACAGAACTATGTACCTACTTATATTCGATAATTTTGATGTTTGATTATATTTTCCTTGAAAAAGCTTGAACCAGATTGCTAGGCAAAACGTTGAATTTTCTTCAAATTCATTCGCTGAGATTTTACAAATACATTCTTCCTCTTTAAAATCTATTTCATTTATGAATCGAATTTTAAAAAAAAAACATGTAATCACCGTGAAAGGTAAATACTTGATGCAAATCTTTAGAAAACTCTTAGTTATACTAGTTAAACCAAACTTCTCATTCTGTCCAATGATTGTTAGTTATAAAGAACTGATAAAGAATCAAGGTTAATACTTTGATGTTAACAGCATGTTTATGAGAATTTAACAAAGTAAATTACATTGACGTATACTGTCAACTTCATTAAAACAGTTTATATCAAACGATTTAAAATTTAAATTAGAGATTATTTTACGAATCAACATCAAATTAACATCAAAAAATACATCTCCACAGAATCCCTTCTCATAATAATCATCTGCTCACTAGTGACTGACTTTCAGAGGCATTTACTGGAGTTCTAGTGAGAAGCCTTTACTAGTGGAGTTCGACCAGGTCTGTTGTGAGATATCAACTCACTGAGAACAGTGGTTTACGTTGGCTCGACTTCGTGGATTAGTTGAAGTTAGACATTAACGCTTTTGGATGCCGGGCGGCTCAGTGGTCTAGTTGGTCCTGAGTTCGAATCTCGCGGGATACGAAATTGTGGATGCGCACTGCTGAGGAGTCCCATACTAGGACGAAACGGCCGTCCAGTGCTTCTGGGTTTTTCATAGTGGTCTAGCTTCAATTGACTATGATTTCAACCAGCGAAATTTCTAAAATCGCCACAAAACCCCTTCTGACATTGACAATAATAAATTGCTCAAGGGTTTCAATAGTTTGATAACAATAGTGTAATATACAAATCATCCATCAATTTATGATATAGATTTGAATCCATCGTTTTGTTTATAAAGCATGCGATTCATTGGATATATTTTTTTTAATCT